ACTTGTTCAGTGATTATTTTTCGTAGCAAATAAACAAAATGCTGGTTAAATAAAATTGTAGTTCATGAAATAATAATAAAAATACCCCTATATGGTTATCAGCAGACATGGTAAACAAACTCTGTGACGTTCTGTCTATACTTCAAAAACCCTCCCATCGTTTCCTGTAAAAAGCAGCGCAAAAAAAAAAAGAGCTCGCAGGGTGTCTCATACATACGCCTAATATGACTGAAAGGTTAGAGCCATTTTGTTCTCAATTGCATAGCAATTATATGAGATCCTTGACTGGTTTTTGCCGTCGCCAGGGGTGTAGCCAGAATTTTTTTTTAACTAGGGGGAGGAGGTCAGAGGGGGTTAGGGGCAGGCAAAAGGTCATTGTGCGCTATATATGCCATGGCAAAAAAATTTCGGATGTGGGGGGGGGAGTATGTTCTCTATGCACCCCCCCCCTCCTGACTACGCCACTGGCCGCCATGTTTAGTGTAATGTACCAATCGATAACGTACCACAGTGCATCGTATGTTTCACGCGCGGGTAAAAGCACACGGGCGGGTGCGACCAACGCGGCTAAAGCAGAGATAAGAAACCGAGCTATCCCCTTTGCACTGAGGGCGGATGGGATAACATTACTTGGCGTTCCAGGCCCCCATCGATTGTTACTCAAGTAGAGAGGAATGCACCGGCCGTTCCAAGAAGCAGGAAGGAGCTAGGAAAGCAGGGGGGGGGGGGGGGGGGGGGGGTGCGTTGTGAACTTGATCGCTGGTGCGCACGCTATTATTCTCCTTTGCACGCGACGACGCGTGCAAGGGAATTGCACGCAACCACGCGTACAAGGGAAAATAAACACAGTCGAACCTCATTAATTCGAACACGCTTAATTCAAACTTCTGGTTAATCTGAACTCACGCTGAGGTCCCGTCAAAGCTACGTGTACAGTCGAGCCCGCTTATAAAGAACCTGAGCGTGATGCGGCATCCGTTCCCTGGATCCCGAAGTTAGTAGTAAATGAAATACAGCTTTTAAAAAAAATTGCGAGTGAAAACAAACTTTTTGCCCCAAAAAGTCTGGATGCACGTGCTTCGAAGAACAGAAACAATAAGGACGGTCTCGAGTTCGTTTAAAACGGCAGGGTGCTCGTTCGCCGAGGCTTGTGGCATAAGCTGCATGAGGCACTGGCTCCAAAGTTTCGTCTTTCTCGCAATCCGATTCCTCCAAATCGCTCTCGCCACGTACTTCATTCACAATGCCCCAATCCGTGCACGGTTCCGCAATGTCAGCATCATCATCGGCCGTAATAAAACCATCACAACATATGTTCCACCCACTCTTCCAGGTCGGAGCTTCTGAACTACGGCCACAAATCGCCGCCACAGTTCAGAAGCTTCAGGCTCGGCATCGGGCCTGACATCGACGAAGTCGGCCTCGCGAAAACAGTTTGGCTTGCATGTAGTCATCACCGCCGCCCACGAAATATTCACCATCTCCACAGCTGAACACAGAGATTCTCGAAGCGGTAAGTTTGCTGCCAGGTGGTCAACAGCTATGAGCAAGCACTCCACAATGTTCCACCTAACGCGCTGATTACGCTCGAGCCAAGCGGTCACACTTTCGACGTTTTGTTGAGCGGCACGAAAAAGCGTGCTAGTCCTCCCGTCAGCCATCATGACCACACATGCACACCAAGAGTGAGCAAGACGCGCACACGCGACACACATGCCAGAGCGCATGGAACAGCTCTGGGCCCGTTTACAGTCAGAAAACAAAACTCATTCGAGCCAGCGGGGCGGGCGTCGCAGAGCGGTGGAAACGGGCGAAGTGGTTGTGATCAAGAGAGATGAGCAGACTTGCAAGAGAAGGGCAAGGAGTTGCGATAAAGAGAGGGGAGGATGCGGCAGGAGGGCCACCTTGAAAACCAAAACACACGGGACGGATCGAGGCAGGTTGGGTAGCTTGCTTGAAAGGTCCGCGAAACTTGCCCGTAGAAAAACTTGGAAAGAGTGCATGGCTGCCTGAATCGGTGCACACGGCGGTGTTTGAAGAATCAGCGGCCGTAGTCAAAAAATCGTTTCGTTGCGCCGGCCGGTTCGCGTGGCCTCACGAACTTCGATATTTCGCAATTCGTTCTGTGCAAACTAACAGCCGTTTTCGCACTTCTGGGCGCGCGGAAGGCATGCTGAGTTGAGTGCGAAAGGAGCGAGAACAAGTGCTAAACACGAAAGGAATCGCAAATTATCAGAGTCGGTGGCGTAACGTACTCGCGTGCACTAGACGCAGACTATCGGATACAGTCGGTGGCCGACAATGTTGGCAAATGGTCTGGTCACTCCAGGCCAGTGACGCCGACAGTACCAGCGATCAAAAACAGGGTAGATGACCGACCGGTCTTCGTGCGTGCACTAGAGGCAGACTATCAGATACAGTTGGTGGCCGACGAAATTGGCAAATGGTCACTCCAGGTCGACGACGCCAACGACAGTACCAGCGATCGAAAACAGGGTAGATGGCCAACCGGTCTTCGAAAGATCGGTGGCAGTGTGAAAACATGGGCCTCGTCTGGGGATGCGGGGTGCTCAGAGTAGCAGGGGGACAAAGGACTGAGGGGTGCGTGACAAAAAGCGGTCGGGGAGAGCGGCAACTACAGGGGCGCGGAGGCAGGGTCGGCGTTTAACAATAAGAATGTATGGGCACCTCGCCGATGCCTGATCGGTGGTCGAAATTGGTTTCCCGGGAAGTCAGCAGACCGCTGACTCCATTTGCTATAACCGATCAGCGGCGCTCAGAGACGTTCGTTGTAAGTGCGATTTTGTGCCATTGAACCAATGCAAATTTTCACGGTCACGCGGATACTGTTCGTTTTAAGCGAAAGTTCGTTTTAAATGGGGCAGCTATATGTGGGCTCGACTGCATTCCAATGGGTGAAAACGCCCTGTAATTCGAATGTGCGAGCACTTGCGATGGTTAATTCGTACATACCGCGCTCCGAAAATGCTCTCAGAACCACGCCCGATCCCGCGGCGGCACGTCTCAATGCTGCATGCGAGGAAGGAAAAGAAGAAAAGGAAAGAAAAGACTGAGGCGGATTGTTTGCTCTCTCTCAAATGCCGATCTGCGACGCGACTGTGCCACGCTTCTCCCTTTTTCGTCTCTGCACGTAGAGACCCTTTTCCTTTCAAGGCCGCGTGCGGAAAGAGAGAGAGAAAAAAAAAAGAGAAAAGGTGTCGCGGAAAGTTCTCCTTTCACGGTGCAGAGAGTAGCAGCGCAGACGTCGTGAGAGGGAAATCGCTTTGCACTGCGGCGGCACTTCTCGGTCGTTTGACCCGCTGAACACTTCCTCAATCCTCTGCGCTGGCTGTGTGAGGAAGATGGCTCTCTCGGCAGCGCGTGGCGTGGCTGTAAGGTCGGCGCAGTAGTTTTGAAAGAGCCGCGCCGAACGAGTGTCAACTCTGCAGAAAACCATATACTTAACACACTACGGTCGCTTTTTTCATAGACTATTTGATGGACTAATTCAGCTCGTTATATCCATTTACCGGTCACTTTTACTTCATTACAGCGAGGTTTAAAATGCATAGTTCTCAATGGAGCTTTCAAGGGGAATTTCATTTACTTAGTTATATCCACTATTTCGTTATATCCCATTAAGTTATAACGAAGTGTGGGTGTATATGAAAACGCAAGAAAGAAAAAAAGAACAGAAAAAGACTCCGGTGCGCAGAATCCAACTTTGCTCCTCTGAACAGCGAGTGCGAGGCGTTAACCACTGAGCCACCGAGGTGCACGTCCTTCAACATTCATACGGCAAGCTAGTTATACCTACCATTTACCGCTGCTGACGGGCATTTTGGGGGATTGTTGTGTTTTCAACATTACCAGCAAGATGGCGCAATGAGTGCATGTCGCCACATCGCGCGGCGGCACACGCTCTAATCTTCCAGGTGTACTTTGCCCTGCTTAGAGAAGGGGAGCGGCGCTCCCTCGCGCACCTTCATCTCACGGTGGGGAGGAGGGGAGGCTACAATCTTCCGAAGTGAGCATCGGGCCAATGACGGCGTGAGCTGGGGCAACATGGAGGCCACGGCCAAACAGAGGCCCCGAAACGATCTCCAGACATTTGCTTTTTGTGCACATGTTTTTAAAAGAAAGAGCCAGCTGAGGAGGGAAATTTGAACACTGAGAAATGCTTATTCCAATAAGCCCAAGAAGCCGGCTCCCAGTCGCGTTATCACACAGCTATAATTTTTTGAAAAGCGCTATTTTCTCGCGATTTTCAAAAAATATTCGCTGGAACAAATTTTTCAAAACACTTCTGCACCGTTTTCAGTGTAGATATTTTAAACTCAGATAAAAAAAAAAGGTTACAAAAACTGAAAAATTGATTTTTTAAACAATCAACTTTTCGCCATTTTTCGTGTGCATCGAAACACCCCCTTGTCTCCTCATTGGAGACACGCCTTCTGCTACCACATGCATATCCTGCTAAACGTTTGGCCATTGAAGTGCTCAGCGACAGACCATCCATCCACCATGATGCTGCCGCTGAGTTTGATGCACGAGCATCCAATGTGCACCAACTCAAAGCAGCCCTGCTTGTATGGTTCACAGAATGTGATAGATGCGATCACAGATAGCAACAACTAAGTTCTGAATGCATGCACAAGCCCAGCGCGCAGAGATTGAATAGCCAACACTATTAGAAAAATATTCGAAATTTTGAACATTCATCCACCTTTAACTAAAAAACATTTGACGGCTCATTTTAATCCATGAATACTGTCTGAATGTATGCTGAAACATGTTCCCACTCACACATTTTTCTTAATTTCAGTGAAATAAAAAAGGCAGATATGACAATCACATACTATAGAGAACCGGCATACATAAATATTAGTGCTCTGGGAATGGCAGTGAAACGATTTAATCGTACCAAATTACAATAGTTTAAGAGTGTGCTACACTTACGGACGAGCATGCTGTGGAACAATGACTGGCATAACACTCACAGATGGCTTGGACGCTGCCAATGCTGTCGTCGGTGGCGTCCGAAGAGGCCGAGTCGGCGTCTGCCACATCCCCAGACAACATGGCTTCCAGCTGTTCCACGATGTTCTGGAAGGTGGGCCGTGCCAAAGGCTCCACCTGGCAGCATGCAAGTGCCAGCCGCAGGAATGCAGGCGGGCAGTCATCCGGACAAAGCCGGCGCAGTGCCAGCCGGTCCACCCCAAAATCAGCCGTTCGAGGGAGCACGTCAGGATCAGCCTCCAGTCGCACTATCAGCTCGCACAGGATGATGCCATACGAGAAGATGTCTGCATGTTGGTCATACCTGCACCGACAGTTGCCCCTTGTCAGCTATCCAGAAAAACTAAGGACACAGGCAGCCCTTCCATGTGCGTGAATATAGTATGACTCCCTAACCTCATTGCTCTCTCTATATTTTTGGAACTGTGCGCTGCTCTAGGATTGGCTCAAGCATTGGCATGCTTCGCAGTGCTGGGCTAGATGACTACATAGTCATGTTGAAAATGGGGCAGGGCGAACAGGTCATCGGGGAATCTAAGAACTGTACGATATTTTATCGTGAAATGTTTCACAAGGTTAATAACAGAGCTAGTGGCCTTCATTTCATTAAATTTTGAACCAGAGGCTTTTTTTCTTTTTTACAGTGAAAGCTGTTATGAGATCACAATTCTGGTCTCGTGCAGTGCCGTAGTTGTCCGCCGCCCACGGTGTCCGTAACCACATCGCGCGAAATTAGCAAAAGCCTAGTAGCAATGACACAGTGGGGCTCGAACCCATGTTCGCTGGATGCCAGCCCAGTATTCTACAACTGAGCTATGCCAGTGCTTAGGACTTGTTGGCAAACTTGCCCTAGGCAGGCTTGATGTCGGGAAAGGAATCACTTCATTATGAGTAACAAAGCGTTTTAGAAAAGCAAACTAAAAGCCAAGCGTCACACAATGCGAATAGTGTAGCGAGTGGGTCGTCCAATGCTCCAACCCATTACAAAAGCTTGTTCTTGATCACCTATTAACTGTGGTGCATACTCACTTCAGGCATAATCTCTTGTCGTCAGCCACTGCATGAAGAATTGGCACATAATTACTCACAACAGTTTAGCGGATACCACGCCTCTCAGAAGAATGACGAAGGATAGCATAGCTAATGCTGGCCTACTAACCTAAAATTTTTATTATTAATGCCGTAGTGGTTACCCAGCAAGTGTGCTTGCAGGAGTTACCCAATGAGTGTTTAGAAAAGGAACTGAAAGGATGCTTTTCTAGCTTTCACTCTGACTGTGCTGCGCCTTCCGCGCTGGCTTGACATTCTTTATTTGACCGCCAAATTTCAGACTGGCGCACAAAATTCAATGTACCTTTTATCAAAAACAAAATAGTATGACATTGATATTTGGCACACTCATTCAATGTGATATTGGTAATAATCCAAATCTACAAAACTGGTTCTCATATTATCTAGCAAGAAAAAAATATCTTCACTTGGCATGTGTATTGAGACAATTAAATTTTTTATTGTATGTTTTTATTTAAAACTATTTGGAAGGAATTGAGGTATAACCTGAGTAAATTTGAGTGTGAACGTTTGTATAGCTTTCCAGGAAAGGTACATCAAGTTTTTTAAACTGACATGAAAAAAACAATAAAAGTAACAGGCTTTTGTTTTAAAAACAGGCAACATACACCAATATACTTGCAAAAAAGACAATTTGGTGAGAAAAATTTGTGATCAGAAAGTACAAAAGTAGAAGAAAAAGAATATATTACACCGATATAGTCATTTTAAAAATGCATAAACAAAAACAATATTGGAGAGCCTGTGCGTCTTATAAGAGGTGCCGCTTATGGTGCCATTTTAAAGGCCTTAGAGAACACTCTAACCCCCTCGCCAATGCATGGTGTTGCTTCAGAGTGTGTATTATTGTTCTGTAATAAAATAAAAAAGTCACTTTTTTCGTCAATCTCTTTCCCGTAGGGAGAGATGCAATGCTAATCCTAGGAAAATGAAAGTTCTACCACTTATGAAGCTTATTTTCTTGATTTCAAGTATGTCTTGAGTGACAGAAGGGGCATGTTTGCACAGCTGATAAAGATGAAGCACTGCAAAACTGATTCTTGTTTTTAACACTGTGGGAATTGAGGCTAGCCCGCCGCCATTGCGCGGGCTTTGCCGCCTATTTCTGCCGTTTTCATGTCCTGATATGACTCTGTCCTCCTCTGCGGTCTGTCCCGCTAGGGGAGCGGAAGTGGCAATTAACCCCTCTCACTCGGTAGCAGTTGTCGACTGTGGTGTCGTCAGCAAAGTCTCTCGTGACGTTTTGCGTACGCGCTTCGGAAGCGAGTCAGATTTTTTCGGGACAACAGAGGGTGAGCACACATTTCTTTCCCGTCAGTCGGCTCCTATTGTTTGGGGCTCGTCAGACTTCGCCAGCGGCACCCTGCACCCGCAACGAATGCTCATCTTTTGTTGCCCCTTTTGAATGCTGGGTAGAAGAGCGGTGCGGTGTCTTTGCTCGTGGTGGTACTACGCCGAACCCTGTCTCTCGAAGCCAACGTGGGCGGAGTTTTGCCCTCGCTTGAGCGACCGGGCACTGTTGTCGTTTGCCCTCGCTCTAGCGACCGGGCACTGCTGTCCCAGGGTCACCGGGAATCACTTTTGCTCACGGAGATGTGCTCGCGGCACCCTGTGCAGTACTTCTCGCCTGTTGTGTGGATAAGCCCATTTGCTTTCCCGATGCCCCTTTTGCAACAGGCTCTGCACTGCTTTTTTGGTGCTGCCGCAGGCAATAAAGTGTTAAGACCTTGAGCAGTACTGTGTTCTCACCACGGCGACAACGTGTGCCCTGAGGCTCGCTAAGACCCGCTCTGTAGCGCTTTTTTGGTGCTGCCGCAGGGAATAAAGTGTTGCGACCTTGAGCAGTACTGTGTTCTCACCACGGCGACGTGTGCCCTGAGGCTCGCTAAGACCGGCTCTGTGGTGCTTTTTTGGTGCTGCTGCAGGCAATAAAGTGTTGCGACCTTGAGCAGTACTGTGTTTTCACCACGGCGACAACGTGTGGCCTGAGGCTCACTAAGACAGGCTCTGTAGTGCTTTTTTGGTGCTGCCGCAGGGAACAAAGTGTTGCGACGTTGAGCAGTACTGTGTTCTTACCACGGCGACGTGTGTCCCGAGGCTCGCTAAGACCGGCTCTGTAGTGCTTTTTTGGTGCTGCCGCAGGCAATAAAGTGTTGAGACCTTGAGCAGTACTGTGTTCTCACCACGGCGACAACGTGTGCCCTAAGGCTCGCTAAGACTGGCTCTGTAGTGCTTTTTTGGTGCTGCCACAGGCAATAAAGTGTTGCGACCTTGAGCAGTACTGTGTTCTCACCCCGGCGACGTGTGCCCTGAGGCTCGCTAATACCGGCTCTGTAGTGCTTTTTTGGTGCTGCCACAGGCAATAAAGTGTTGCGACCTTGAGCAGTACTTTGTTCTCACCACGGCGACAACGTGTGCCCTGAAGCTAGCTAAGAACGGACCCACGCTAGTGGCCATACTCCTTCAGGATACGTGTACACAGCACTGGCGCCCAACGCGGTATCAAAAGCTCGACGCTTTTGACTGCTCTTAGCGAGTCAGTTCGCCTGTGCGATTCGGGCTTGTCGCAACATGTTTGCTCGGTGGAATTTTTGTCTGCTGTGCTTTTTAGTGGATTCCGCGTTGCACAACAAGGCCACTGCCTCTATTGACGAGCACCCTTTTGCAGCAGCCCGTGTCACTACCCCTATAGCGGTGAAGACGCGAGGCATATATCCGCTTCCTCTGGACATGGTGCGTAGTTTCGGAATGGGCCTCTTGCCCTACCTAACAGTACACCCAAGCACCCCCAACCACTAATGCGCCCTTTGGCATGCATGGCAGTTCATCGGCACAGTACTCGCAGGCAGTTCCCTGCGGAATTGACAGGGCGCAGGCTTTGGCCTTCGCTAACTTTTGCCCGCCGTCAGCTGTGAAACACTTTGAACGCATGCTGATCAGGTGCCTTGTTGACGGCAGCTGCACCAAGTGTTCATTACATACCTGCCGACTTCAAGGATTCTGCATCCGTGAGATATCCCCAACTGGGAGGGAGGGGAGCTGAATTATTTGCTTTTATTTTTTTCGGCACCAAAAAAAAAGAAAACCTAGAAAAACAAGAGGGCGTTGGGGGGGGTCTCAATCACAAGCATAAACATCAGCGTTGGCCGAACACATGGTTTTCCACTAAGGTGAGAGTGTCAAAAGATCAACACAACTAGCAGAATCTCAGAATCTATTTTCGTCGAAATAACTCGCGTATGTCTTCCTGGGACACACATGAATGGACTGACGGTGCAGCTCGCTGCCGCAAAAGCGCGGGTCACAACTTCGCTCATTACTAGATTTTATTTATAGGAACACCAAAATGCATCTGGCCCCTTTTTATTGCGATAGCAATCATATGGACAGTCTAGGCTGCTTTCTTGCCATTGCCGTCGCCACCGCATAGGTATACGTATATGAACTCAAGAAAGAAAAAAAAAACACCACACATGCTCGGCGCCCAGCTTGTTATGATGCGCCGGCGCGCACTTATCTCTCACGCGTACTTTGCACCGCGGATAGGAAGAGAGGGGGGGGGGGGGTAGATGCTTGTGCGGGCGCGCTTATGCTTTGGTGGGGACAATTGCGTGCCTTTGGCTTTCACTGGAATGATTGTGCTAGTTGCCGGGCCCACAAAGGTCACTTTGGTCTCTGCACAGGCCCCGTTTGCGAAAAGAGCGCGCTTTTCATTTACAGCAAAGGATAACAACTGGGACATTTGTTAGTTTTTACTCATCTGTGCCTGTGATTACATATCGTGCATCATTTTTCTTTAAACAGCGCGTTACAAGTCGAACGGTAAACATTGTTAGTTCGCTCTCATCCTGTGTGTATCGTTTTTGTGCGTCATTTGTGTGTGAGCATTGCGCTGCACGTTTTGATCTGCTTGCCGTTCTCAGCGTGACATTCCAAATTGTTGCTGTCACCTTCATTGCTTCACCCTTGCGGCGAAACTGACTTTGTTTTACGTATTCACTGCCTTTAATCTAGCGCTGCGTTTCCTCGGAGCTCATAGCTCGTAGATCGCTATCGCGTTGCTACTACCACGGTTTTGTGCGCAACGGTTGCGGTAAACGGTAGTTCCTTTCACAAACCGTGGGCTTGGCTGTGCACGCACCTTCGAAACGATGTCGTTTTATGCCATCTATGATCGCATCTGCCGCAGTTTCATGCGCAGAGTTTGTGGAAAGAAGCGTTGCTTTGACTGAT